AAGGGCGAAATGAAGCGTTGTAGGCGATTGTGTAACAAAAATACCAATGACCGGCAGTCTAGTCCAGCAGATCAATAGAATGGTTGTATATACATACATATGGACATCAGGGTGTTCAGTTCGATTGTAGTATTTGAAACGAATTTACAAGTAAAGTAAAACTATAGGCTGATCTGGGAAAGTTGAAAACAAATTTTGCATCGCTTGAAGTTTTGCGGACATTTTTGCAATTCTTTTGACACCTTTGTGTTTAAACAGCTCTGGTAACGGTAAATAACATTGCTGAATGATAATTTTGACAATTCTTTATATTCATCAATTTATATCCATTTTATACTTAAAAATTTGGTTGAATTAAAAAGTCAAGTTCAAAAGGATTTCATTTGGTTTAGAGAATTACGCTTACTGCTATTTTTAACTAGTTTGCAGAATTTTTGCAATGGCAGTTTTTAAGATGAGTTCCGCCAAGATCTGGGTTTTTGTAGCATAAACAATACAATGATTGCAGATTTTATGAATAGGTAAAAGAATTCAATTCGACATGATACTATATCAATGCAAAAATGGATCAACTTATATAAGACCGATGAGATCAAATTTTTTTGGCAAAAAATATGTGTTCAAGAAGCAAGGATCGAAGTATAATCGATACTGAATAACAGAATTACATTTTAAAGACTTGATTCAGAGAATATTACAGGAATTCGTTAATCATCACTATAATCGTAGCTCTTGCACATAGCTTTGGATGAGGAACAGGTACAAAAAAGCTATTGGAATTATTTTTTATGTGATATTATTCTAGACCTCATTTATAATTTATCGATCTTGTGGTAGTTATATATGCTACAACACGTATTTGTAGAGTTTCGAGACTCGAAACTGTATCAGATGAAATCGAGACTCGAAATAGTATACAATATTACTTTGATACTCATTTATTAACATTTACTTTTAGATTTGAAATTATGTTGCTCATCATTAGTCTGTAAGTGCAGTATATAGCCACTCCTCGAGCTACAGTGTAAGAAAGGAACTTTCCATAGCTACAGTTTCTTCCCACTTTCCCAATTTGAAAATTCGAGAACATAAACTATATGTCTTTTATTCATTGACTGAAATCGAAGCTCGAGACTGGAAAGAGTACTTACTTATATGTAATATGCCACCTATAAGATGAACTTAAACTGCGATATTCGAAAACGTTCCTCAGCAACAAAGAATATAATAATTTATAACATCAACACCAAATATATGGTTCTCACTGGATGAGAAATTTCGAATATTGTGACAAAAGTTAGGCTTAGCGGATGACCTTAATGCAGCTGCCAATACGAGTATATGCATGAAAGTACACGCTTATAGCACTCGCTTTTGGATGGATTGGCCGAAATTGAAGCAACAGCTGAAATAAAAAACGGAAAAAAAACAAATACAACAACAAACAACATAATTCCCATCAGCAAACAACTCAAATCATAACTATATAGTATAGACGTGCATACGAACAACCCAAACAATAACAGCAAAATAGCAACAGCAACAACAAGAACAGCATCATAGATACGAGTAAAAGCAGAACAAAACTCAAATAAAAACATTTTTAGGCTTTTTGCAAACAAAATAGCTTGCAAACCATATCGAATTACACATGCATTAGAATACGCGCACACACACACACTCGCACGCACAGAATCCTTGCCTGCTTCCTGCCAGCTTGCCTGGCAGCGTTTTGGGCGGAAATAAAAGCGGATAACATTGAAAATTTGCATTCGGACATTTACTGGGGTCCATGGCTGGCTGCACAAGTTGATGTGGGGCAATATAGTTTTTAGAGAGAAATGTCAGCATGCACATGTCCAGATGCATGTATGTGTGTATGTGTGTTGTGTGCATAAACAAAATGTTAACAACTGCATACAATGTAATATGAGGCGCCATGTTGTATATTCACTCACATATTTATGCACTACACACTTCTGTTTTGGTTTTTTATATGTGCGTTTATGTAAGAGTATGCATATTTCAGCTGGCAAAGCTGGCGCTGAATTTTTCAAAAATACACATTGCATTAGATAAGTCAACATGAACGGAAAAATGCTCCAAATCTACGGATTAGTTGATAAAAAATATATGACGAACTTTGAATATTAAATTAAGTGAGAATTTTTCGAAATAAAAAGGGCGGTTAAAGGTATATACCATTTCTAGAATACTATTTTTTCAACTTAATGGCGTTTAAAAATTTTAAGACTCATTACTTTTAATCATAATCGGCAAGCTTGACTTCGGGGGCTTGGTTGAGAGATTCTTATGCAGTCATCTTAAAGTCCGGACCTATTCCTGCCTATGGCAAGTGCTGCTGAAATTTCGCCTCAAGAGAAACTTCTGAAAATTTGTTGCTCAAGTTTTTTCCCAATGGGGATGAGGGTTGTTATGAGAGTGGCATTGTGCATTATATTATATTATGCATATCGAACTGAAGAGGTTTAGGGAAGCCTATAGTTGGAATGCTGCTTGAAGAGAGTTGGAGTTAGTATTTTAATTAAATTTATCAGATAAACCAGTTACGGATATAGCTTACTGTTGACCATAATGTTGAGATGGGTTGCCAACTGTTACTATTGTTATTGACTTATTATCAGGCTTATATATTTTAAGTGATTTTAAAGTTCACAATAGCGCCACCTTTTTGTGCCAAGGGTCACATGTTCTAAAGACTTATTCGAGTTGTTTTTCTAGAATTTCCGCTCAGTGTTTTTCGATAGCATTAAAGGTATTAAAGTCTGTAGAAGCAATATTCGTTGAGGTTGATTTTAGGATATTAAAAATAATATATTTTCGAATAAGTTATACATGTCTGAAACATAGTTAGCTGAATTATATAAATTCGATGGAATAGGTAGTAACTACGCAGATCTAAAAGTGCACAATTCAGTACTATTGTTTTACTTAAGGAGGCAGCAGAGACCTTGGAGACAAAAAATGATAAAGAATTGGCTTTCAGTTGATCTTTTAATCTGGCGGAGAAACACCAATCAACATGATCTTCACTTTCTTTCACGTTCGTCTCATTGTTAAGACGATGCTGCGACTAGTAAACGTATGGATCGGAAATTGAGCGCACACAGTCAAATCAACCAAATTGTGATTACACTGCGTATATAACTGTTTGTCTATCCAGATGAATGGAGCTCTGAATGGCCATCAGCATGGGCTTTGAAAGACTGGAATACGCGTGAGTCATGTCACAACTATGTTGGTAGTGAGAGAAAATTCAATGAAAAAGCGGAAATACAATTTGAAAGTGAGAAGTAAAATTAGGAATTCACTACTTTTCGAAACATGTAAGTGTACAGCAACAACCCTTTGTTGTACATTTGTGGTTATATCGGTATGTGTGAGTTCATAGGTAAGCCGCAAGAAATTCCACACATTCCAAACTGATTACAGACTCCATGGATTATATGCAGAAACCTACATATATAGATATGTACTCTTATATGAGTTTACATACTCCTACGTATATAGGAATGTATCGCTTACATGTTTCTTTATTGGCGTATAATTATGATCCGATTCCGATCACTTTTCAAGCAGTTTATTTTGCATCTCGTAATCTTCAATGTTTTGTTTTTTGAACTGGCTACTGGAATTTTTTTTTTACTGTAGATATATGTATGTGCATATACGAGTATTAATTCTTAGAAAAATAGGAAGATGGAATGTATGCTTTCTTTATGCAAGTAGTTAAGATTGTCTTCTTTGAAAGATAAGTAATGAAGCTTAGAAGGTTTTAATTGTATTGGTGTAGAATGTAGCGGGCAGATTTGAAGCTCTTGTCATCCCTCGCTATGTTCTCATGATTTGATATGTAGTATGTATGTATGTACTTTAGAGTGGTCAAAACAAAAATTAGAATTAAAGGTTCTTTAGGCTGAGTATGAGCTAAAATATTACTTATATCTGCCAATTTTATAAAAAAATATATCGGTTCTTAGTACTTTTATCCACACAAGCTCTTTATATATTTCTTCTTCTACAATTTTAGGCCACCTAAACTCACAAAATAGATGATTGTGAACTTATCTTCTATAGATTGATTTTGATAAATGAGCAGCAGAATTGATAATCAGCAAAAAAATAATATCAAAAGTTTTAGAACAAATTGACTCTGTTTGAGCCATTTCCACTCGAAACTAAATTTTAAGAACCGAGGAATACGTGAGATATATCAATTGGATCATTGGAGAAAATTTTTCTGAAGGATGTGAAGACATTTACGTCGCAGATATATTTCAATTATTTGGAAAAGTTAGTTAAACGCAAGCTGTACGTAAATAATTGAATCATTTCACTTTAGTTTACACTGAACATACGAATTGCATACCGTCTGTCGGCTTCAATAAGTAACATTGTCATACATCGGAGATATGTGAAATGCCATTAGATGACCAAAAACTGACTCTTTAGCTAGTTGTTTATTTAACGATGAATGTTGGGTCATTATGTCTGCTATCAAATCCGTGGAAAAGGACTTCATGCTTCCTAATCTAAAAACGATGGCGCACCATTTCAAACGGCGAATCAAACTACTCAGTTTTTGGCAAAAATTTCCCCGAACATGTGTTGTGCAAACGGGAAGACCTTGACTGGTCACCCAAATTCCCAGGGATTATTTGAAAAGCAAAGTACTATATACCTATTATTTTTGGAGCATTGCCAAACTCAAGGCAAACAATTGTACTGAAATCGCTATATCACCCGAGATAATTTTGCTGTGACTAATAAAGGTCACAGTATTTGAAAATAGTAAATAAATTGTTAATGTCCACATTATTATAAATTGTAAAAGTCGGGTTTCTCTTCTTTAATATATAACCCTATATTTTCCCATTTAAATTAAGTGTCACTTTACAAAACTCATAGCTGTACCAAAAATATAGTCTAGAATTTACGCACACCTCTAAACATGAGTAAAATATCATAGATATTATTTTGAAAGAAAATTTTTTTGACTTTATTTAAACAGATCTCTTTAAATCGTATAAAATTTCCAAATTCTTTATTAATTTACTAAACGGTTCCAAAAATTTAATGCGTCATTATTCGGCACTCGTTTTCTTATGGGTCTTCATTATATTGGTGTTTCCGTTGTAGACGGTGTTGGCCTAGTAGGTGGCGTTGGTCGCCTAGTAGGTGATGTAGGTCGCCTAGTGGTTGGTGTTGGTCTCGTAGTAGGTGGCGTTGGTCGACTGGTGGGTGGTGTAGGTCGCCTAGTAGGTGGGGTTGGTCGCCTTGTAGGTGGTGTGGGTCTCCTAGTAGGTAGCGTTGGTCGCCTAGTGGGTGGTGTAGGTAGCCTAGTAGGTGGGGTTGGTAGCCTAGTAGGTGGTGTAGGTTGCCTAGTAGGTGGTGTAGGTCGCCTAGTGGGTGGTGTTGGTCTCCTAGTAGGTAGCGTTGGTCGCCTAGTGGGTGGTGTAGGTAGCCTAGTAGGTGGTGTAGGTTGCCTAGTAGGTGGTGTAGGTGGCCTAGTGGGTGGTGTTGGTCTCCTAGTAGGTAGCGTTGGTCGCCTGGTTGGTGGCGTTGGTCGCCTAGTAGGTGGTGTAGGTCTCCTAGTAGGTGGCGTTGGTCTGCTGGTAGGTTCTGTTGTTGGACTTATGGTTTGGATTTCTGGTTCGGAATGAGCTTGAGCACTCATTATTAAGACAACTAATAGCGTAGCTCCGAAAACTGTAATTGGATATATACATTAATAAGGTATCTAGTTGAACGATTATTGAACTTACGAAGCGTAAATAAATTCCTGGCCATGTTTTTTCCAATTTTTCGAACTGCTTGCTTCTATTGGCTGTGAGTGTGAAACTCAACTGATATCTTCATAACAGTTCCTACGATGTTATATACTAGAGCAGATCTCGCGGAACAAATGATTTTTGTTTGAACACTTGTTTAATTATTTTCGGTTAAATTAATGCATTTAGTGAATGGATTGTCTGGCAGACTTTTATTGTTTGGTTTCTTCGTTTGTCGTTACCATTGTGTGTAGCCAGATGGCTTTTTACAAAAATAAATATATCCATACATTGGCTGTTAAAAAACACTTTTCTTGTTCACTTTTTTATAAAGCAGCGTAAAAAGGTTTTTTGTTTTATATGAGACAAAATGTTTAAGGATTGAAAGTTTATCAGACACGACGCGTCCAGCGTTGGAGAATATCTGTTGAGATATACTTGTACAAGTATGTATAAAATGTTCAGCGTGACGAGTTAAGCCGATCTGTTCCTCTGTCTGCCTGTATATATATACGAACTAGTTCTTCAGTTTTGGAGATATCATTCGGAAATTTCGCACACGTCATTTTCTTCCAAAGAAGCTGCTCATTTCTCGAAAACGTCGATCTCGGGCTAGTATAGTATCATACATCAAGCTGACTGATCAAAAAAAAGTTAACTAGGGGAAAACTTTTTTATTTGAAAAAATATCTTCACGAAATTTCTCAAAAATTATTGTCCAAAACAAGGCTAATTCGGATCAATATAGCATATAGCTGCCATAGAAACTGTGATTATAAAAATCAAGATATAGGTCGTTTTATACTATTTTATGCTATAAGGAATGCACATATGAAGCTTACTATAGCTTTCGTGTAGCCGAAGTTAACGCTTTTTCTTGTTATTCCATTTAAGGTCCACCCTTAAGTATATAAACATAAAAATAATTACAGTCAATAATGAGCACTGCGCCTGCGTAAAGTGAACTAATGAATAAGCCAATGACTCAAGCCATCCTTCGGCACTTCTATGCTCATGCATATCTACCAAATGTGCAACACAACAAATACGCACACACATACAGAGATATGTATTTACATAAATTCAAGCATTTGCGCGTCAATGAAGTGAGTCATCGCTTCGAAGGCGGTGCAAGTGATCAATTGGCGGCGTTACACTGCAACCACGCACACACATACATACAAACTTACGTGTAGTATGTAGATGATTGCAAGGGCGGTGCAACATGCATGCGTGCATACAAAAACAAATGCGTGCAAACATTGTGGCTTGTAAATGAGTCGGTTGACTGTTTGTTTGTTCGGTGTTATTGATATTGTTGTTGTTTGCTTGATTGGTATGACATTCATGTTAATACTAGCATAAATTTTCAAATATCTGCTTGACCTTCTCGGAAAGCGGCTCATCAATAAATTGTCGCAGCGATACGAAACCACAAATTATCACACACACGTATATATATACATTCAAACATACATACTTACATATATACATTTTCCTTACATGAGTGTAGTTTGAACCGGCATCACCACCACTGATAGTTGTTTGGCCGCCGCTTGATTGTTTTCTGCTTAAGGCAGACTCCCCAGTGGGTGTCAACGACACACTTGGTCCGCAGCGTAAGGATATGCTAAGTGACAGTTGACACTTACAATGATATAATGAATGGCATTTCACTATTTATTATCATTTCTCTTTTGTAGGCCCACTCCTTTCTCTACCATAACAACACCACTAAACATAAGTGTCTGTATGTGTGTAGCTACATAAATACCACGTATGAGTTGAGTCTGCTGCAAAGTGCCGTGGAAAACCTCGCCACTGAGTCACAGTTAGAGGCTTTGTTAAATTATTGTGTCAGCGTTTGCTACACTTAATGATGAAGTGTCACTGCCATTTTCGGGTTTCGGAGTTCGTTTGAATTATGTGCTCATTTCGTGTCAAATAACAGTATCCATTGAACAAGTCGAATTGTAGGCCGACAAAAGGGTTATGGAAATGGAACTTTTGACAGATGTGCAGGGTATCCGAATTTTGATTATTTTTAATTTTCTTATTTCCTCTTTCGATTTGAACTATTTCATATTTATTAATACTAAATTGACATAAAATATTGTATATATATATGTATTTCTAAACTAGAAGATTTCCTGTTTAACATACTTGTATGATATTTAATATTTTTGTTGTGAAGGAGATACAAATTTTTATTTAATAAAATTTTCTCATAACGAAATTAAAATTGTAAGTTAAAAGTTCAATATCTAACCATATATGCGCTTTCTTCTTCCAGATCTATCTTCACATATGAAGCTAGGACTCTTACTTACCATATAAAATAGAACTTACTTATATAATAGTGACTAGTTTTTACCTGAGAATTCATAAAACATGGACTTAATGGCCTGTATCACCTAAAAACAAAATTTTTACCCTGAAGAGCGTATTATAAGTATTCCGCGATGCTTGAAAGTATCTATGGTCATGTTCACATGATCAGCTTGACGAGTTAAGTCGATTTAGCTATGTCCGCCTGTCTGCATATACGGGTCCCTCGATTTTGAAGATATCGATATGAAACTGTGCACACTTACTTTTCTCACCAAGAAACTGCTCATTTGTCGGAATCGCTGATATCGGACCACTATAGCAATAGCATATACCTGCCATACAAACTAACCGATCAAAATGTAGTCATTGAATGGAAAAGTTTTTTTATTTGACTAAATACATACCTTCACGAAATTTGGCATGGGTTGTTGTCAAAGGCAATGGTGCAATATTCGAAGAAATCGTTCAGATCTGTTTACTATAGCATACAGCTGTCATATAAACTGACCCATCAAAATTAAATTCTTGTATTGCAATTTTTTATTGTTTCTGAAGGGTATTATAGCTTCGGTATGACCGGAAGTAACGTTTTTTCTAATTTTTTGTAAAAATTCTATTTCATTATCTATTTTAGTTGCTTTCGATGGTAATATTAATTTTCCAACTTTTTGGCACTATTTTTCTAGTACGAGATTTCTTTTGTCTCTGTGATATATATTTCTTATCGCTGAATTTTTGCAAGTGAAGAATTTCGTGAGATTTGAACACAGGAGCAATGTGATGCAGGTGAGATCTGGAGAATGTTAAGGATGCCGAAGCAATTCGAAATCGAATTAATTTAACTTTATCATCACATTCTTTGATTTTAATACCGGGGCTTGGTCTTAATAGAGAGCAAGCGTACCCAAATATGCATCAACGATATACCTTACACGTTAGTTAGATATCTTTAGAGTATGAGCTATCTCCAAAGTCTTCTTAAGGACCCGTTGCTGCAACGTATGAATTATATTCAGCTGTATCTTTATTAATAATCTAGACAATTTCTTTCCGAAGTGTTGACGGCAAGTATCTCACAATAGCTGTTTTCGATTCGCCAAGCGTTGGAGATTAGCGAATCGAACAAACTATATCAGATGCTTAAGCAAACCGGCAGCACTTGTGGTGCAACTCTGCGCCAACATGTCTTCTGTCGCGTGCGAAATATGGTTTTTGATTCTTTTTTAGTGGATACATTTTTTTTTCGCGTTAAAAAAATTTGCAGAAATCCTTTAGTTTTGTTTTCTATAAATTACTATATTTGGTTCAAAGTCTTAAAAATACCATAAAAATATAAATCTTTATTTTAATTTGTCACTTAAACTATTCACAATAGCCAACGCCAAGCCAAAGAGAAAAAAGCGAAGTCAGCTCTTAGACTAAGGGAATACACTCTATAAGCCGCTTGTAAGAAAGGGCATTCTAAGTCCCGTTTCAAGCCAATACCACGAACTTTCCTAATCCTATAGATTAACTTATGTATAATCGGTCTCCAATATTGCCTTCCCTTCCAGAGAAGAATGGGGAAGGGGCCAGGTGGACAGTGATGCAGAGATATGCGTCTATACGGAAGTCTAGTAAATAATGTTTTTTTGAACTATATATATATATGGATGTAAGTTTATCTGTAAGAATTCGTTTGAGAGGCGCTTTGTCAGCGTAAAATATGAAATAATTGCCAATACACACGTGTACGCGTTGCGACAACTGCAGTGGCTATTGTGGCAGGATGGCAGGGTGGCAGCATGGTGCATGTCCTTTGCTGCACCGTCAAAGCACCGGAGCAATATTGCAGTTATTTGCGGAATCTATTCCATACTTTTTGTTCAAACAAATAGCTGATACCATTTGTTAATATTTTTTTGCTGTGACAATTTTGTCGCATGAACGCTCGCCGAGCAAAGCGCCAGTCGACAAGGAATGCAGACAAACAAATGCACAATTTCATTTTTTGGATCGGTATGTATGAGGGCACACATACCGAAATTGCTGCAGAATATTTATTGCAAAAGCATGCGTTCACGGTTATTTAAACCAAAACAAAAACGAAAGATTCTTTTGGAGCGAAAGTGAAAAAATGAAATAAATAGGAATTTGAACAAAAAGGACAGCATTTTGCCAACTCCAATATTTCAATGCAGCACAATTCGAGTTCATATCGCAAGCGAGTGCTAGTAAATGTGTCAACGATGTCAGCGTCGATGACATACGGTTGACACAAAAGTCAACTGGTGAATAACAAAAGCACCAGCACTAGACAGTTTTCATTTTTAACAGTGAAAGAATATTTTATGAATATTTGTATGGCGCACATAAAGCGTTACTTTTATAAAATTCTACATACGGGAACGGAAAGGAATTTCTCGAAAATTGTAGTGTGCCAAAAAAGTTATGAGTTTCGAGAATTTGTCACTCCATACTTACAAAGTTATGATTTAAATTGGAAATAACTTTTAACGACTAACCAATTCAGTGGAAACATTTTTCTAACTCAGTTCCATACTTCTTCGCAGTCTATAACATATTATATTATATCTGAAATAAGCTCTTTAATCATATACTTGTACATATATGTATACATACCACCTAGTGCCTCTCAGGAGAGAAAAAGCTGTAAATTTTGTACTCCACTCTAAGCCTTCCACAATATATACATATATACATGTATATATTTGCATGGAGAATAAATTATGTAAAACACC